TAGAAATTTTTTATGAAAAAAGTGGTAGGAAGTTGGGAAAATCTAGGAAAGTGGTAGGTAGCATGGGGAGGGGGTCGTATTTGAGGATAGAATTAGGGTGGGTCGTATTTTCCAGGAAATGATCACAACGCGATGGCGTGCCCTGCCGTTCAAGCTGGTGGAGAGGAGGGGCGGATCAGTAGAGCGCGTTCAGACTTCGCGATCGCGCGATCCGATCGCGCTACTGTGGGTGAAATTACACCGGGAGGGGGTCATGTTCGTTCATGTTTATTGTTCCTGTTCTTTTTTTCCTTTTCCTTCTTTCTTCCTTTGTGTACATAACGCCCTCCTAATTTTAAGGAACGTTTCGAAATATCTTTGAGTTATTTATTATTTCCTATGTAAAATAGTACTAAATATACAATATGCTAATTATTATACTGAATTTTGCATCTGAGTACGTTCAAGCGGAGTATTGAACATCTTGTTCCAAAAGTAAGACACGCAGAACTTTCAACAGCGGGTGATGTTGTTTCTCTCCCTTCCCCCGATTTTGCCAGTCCTCCAGATATTCACTTTACTTTTGTCACATTGTGTTGCTTTGTTTGTTCTGCCATCCTCCAGGTCTATACACAACCTTTCCTTTCGACGGTTTCTGCAAACGTCAGTATTGCGAATATGAACACGGCCTAAAAGACATCAAAAAAGGTCGAACTTACTTTTATATCGTTTTTGGAACTGCCTATTGGAGGCAGGATACAGCATCGTGATGTGAGAAATGGTGATATCAGTACGACTCCCTTCCCAGAACTTTGTTGTTGTTTGTTGAGTTGAGTTGAACATGAACGAACATGACCCCCTCCCGGTGTAATTTCACCCACAGTAGCGCGATCGGATCGCGCGATCACAGCGATCGCGCGATCGCGAAGTCTGAACGCGCTCTTAGGAATGCACAACTGCTCTCTTCTTCCGCGCACACGAACAGCGTGAGCTGTGCTTTCAAAATAACACTATTTGGTGAGACGTTAGGCACAGTTGCGCGCGATAACAATGTAGCTTTGACCTTCTGGGTATTCTATGGCACCGATTGTCAAGAAGGGTCCATTTGCGCCACAGCATATAGCCGCGTTAGAGGGGTCCTGTTAATTATTAAACAAGTACTGTACTAGGTTTAAGTGTTGTAAAACCATGTTGTTCCAGGGCGATGTAGAAACCGGCAAAGCTCTTATTCTACATCCACTTGTTAAGAAGATCTCATTTACGGGAGCTGTCCCGACAGGCAAGAAAATCATGCAGGTGCGTGCAACTTTAACACCGCTTTTTCGAATAAATGTTCCGAATTTGCTTGCTCTTTCAAGGACTGTGCAGCCCGAAATGTGAAGCCAATAACATTAGAACTAGGCGGAAAAGCATCCTTGATAATTTTTGAAGATGCTGATCTCGAATCGGCCGTTTCTGGAGCGATGATGGCGAATTTTTTCAGTCAAGGGCAGGTGTGCACGAACGCTAGTAAGGTGCGTTTTCATGTAGTGTGTTGGTATTGATGGCCACTATGGATCAATATTGATTTTATGAAAAGACCTGATAGGTCTGCTACCTTGACAGTGGACTATTCGTAGTATATTGAGCCTCCAACTTCTTGCAGGTGCTCATTCACCGCTCGTTAGAAGCGGATTTTGTGGCGTCACTGCGAGAGAAAACAGAAGCCATGCGTATTGGTGACCCTCTCGAGGATACGACGCGAGTTGGAGCCCATATTTCACGTAGTCACATGGAAAAGGTCAAAAGCTACATTGATGGTTAGTTTTTAAATTGATTTGCTTGTAAGTTATTTAGTAGATTTCGGCACCACGACACGGCTACGTGCCATGAATGAAGTCCTAAGTACCAAAAAAGTTTAATTGACAGTTGTAAATGAGATTTTATGCTTTGTTATTGCGCCGGTACTGCTCACGCATAATGGGCTAGATGGATTATTTGTGTAGACTATGTCAGTACAACATATACACCAGATGTTGTAATTGCAGGAGTTCCCGACTGACAAGGGGAACGAGAGGGGCTAGTGGACAGGTAGACGAGCTGTTCCAATGACTCGTGCAGTTGATCTCCAACGAGATTTCACAGCTTAAACTACTCAGTAAAACGAGTAACCTAAAGGCAAGGGGCACAAAGGCTGGGGCTGCGGCTACTGCCATTGTCATTGGTGAAACGGCGGAGTAAGGGTGTGGTCGAAACGCCCTCTCGCAGCTCGTCCCACCAATGACGTAGCTATGACCGGGTATTTGACAAGAAAATCGTAATTCGCCGCGCTGGTGGGTGTCGCGTGCGACGCCGCCGCCCCGCGCTGGTGGGTCGCGTGCGACGTCGCGCCAGCAAATGACGATGGTTCCAGGTAGTAGATGGCGACAACAGGCAATTCAGAACCGAAAATAGTCATGAATGTCTACGATGACGGGGTCTACATGAAGTCCGGTGCTCCAATCGACAGGTTAACACGAGTTAAGAAAACGCCGCGCCCATCGCCGCGCGCGGCGAGCGGCAAATTACGATTCTCTTGCCCGTCTGCCGCTATAACCATCTGCCCCCAGCCTGTGTCCACTGCCTTTCAGAAACAGAACCAAATGGACCGATGATCTCAGCCTTTGTTTATACCAAGCCCTATATCCTCACTTGCGGCGAGAGCCAAGTTTCCAGTCTGGTTCCCCCACCTCCATCGATATTTTCTCTCATTTTTTTCATCTTTGGGCAGCATGCCTGCTGTATAATTTCTGACTTTGGTGCTGTTCACTTTTGGGGGTGGGTGAGCGGGATCAAAAAGGCTCCTAGTGCAGAAGGGGTGCTACAGGAAAGAAGCGAGGAACTCTGCTTGAGGTGGGAAGTAGCTCTAAGGTGGGTTCACGGTCTCTTTTAGGTAAGAAGTGGATCTCGAGCTGCAGTAATTCCAGTTCGCACGAAAAGTTCTTCAAGTCCTTCTCACCCACCACCTCCCCCCCCAACCGATATCACGGTGAAGAGCATCCTAATTTTTCTGAATACATGAAGCGATTTCATAGTCTAGTCATTCCCAACTTGATTTCCCTTTGTTTCATACTTATTTGGCGCGGGTATCTTCGAAAGGACCTCGTTTGATATGCTTTTTTCCCGTGTGACTAGCTCGCCTAAGAATTTCAATGTTTTATTCGCCATACTAGGAACTGACGGTGTTCGGTGCCAGGTGCTGTGGCCGCCGGTGCCCGTGTCATCTGCGGAGGTGAACCCGTACAAGTTCACGGCCTCGAAGGAGGTTTCTATCTCTCACCATGCATTCTTTCCGACATCCGCAAAGATATGGAAGTCTACCGGTTAGTTTTTGCATTTTTTTTCGCTTCATAACTAGTGCAGTGAATTCCAATTACAGTGAGGAGATATTTGGCTCGGTGCTTCTTGTGATCCCGTTCGACACTGAAGAAGAAGCGCTTGAGATAGCCAATGATACGACATTGGGCCTTGCCGCTGGACTTTTTACCAAGTGAGTGCGCCGTACTATTAACCTCGAAATCGAGGATTAACTGAAGGAAATAGAGAAGATCCCTTCTTCTAAGGATTGCAACGACAATCCTGGCTATTTCAGAGATTTGGCACGAGCTCACCGTGTTGCAGATCAGCTTCAAGCTGGCAACGTCTATATCAACACTTACAATGACGTTTGTAAGTTCTCTTTCATTAGCAATGTTTCAAGCTGCTTCAAATAGCGATAATGTGGCCTGCGTATTGATCGGACTCCGTCTTTGAAATAGCGTCATTTTTCTGCACTCGTTGCGTGCTCTTCTTTTTATTTTTCTGAGAGGACTATAACCTCGCACATTCAGTTTTTCGCAGATGATAAGTGGCTCACCTGTTCCAAAGGTGTCCCTGCTTCAAGAAAATTAACCAAAAAATTAGTCTTCATGTACGCTGCCACTTTCCGAGAAACTTCTCTTTGTATGCCTGCGCTCTCACCTTTCGCGCAGACAATACAAGTGTTCCAGCAGTCGCGAATAACATGGTTTTAATATCGAAACCTCAAGTGTACCTGAAAGGAGTAAAGTTGGTAGAGAAGTTAGGCGACTTGAAGTGCCCACATAACGACCTTGTGCCAGAAACTTTATTAAAAGCAATTTCAGCACCGTTCGTCCCGTTTGGGGGTTATGGAGATTCCGGCTTCGGGCGTGAGAATGGTACTGCAGTGCTCGAGCATTACTCTCAGATAAAGTCTGTATTCGTTTCAATAGCACCAAAGCTGGAAAATCCGTTCCAGTAATGGACTCAATTTCTTATTCTATTTTATGACTGAAGATATTGCGGGGTTGTTACGATCACCATCATTAATAGGATAATTACTGTAATTTTAAGTTATTCTTACATTAACCAGAGGATCTCAAGGCTGTGTAGACAGGTGCAATCGTAAATCGCCGCGTTTGTTGGCGTGGCTAGCGATGTCGCCTGTCACTTGTGGCAACTAGATAGTTGGCAGCATCTGAGACAGCGCTGGGATCTTGCGATGACGCACACTGACGCGCTGTTACGCGCGTCGACGCGCGATGTGACGCGCTACAGCTGCAGCAGCGCTCCTGTCGACAAGCAACCTTGTGTGGCTGCGTCCAGTCTCTAGGATTTGAGCGCTGCTGCAACTGTAGCTCATTACAGCACGTCACGCGAACTCTAAACGCTGTCTTACTCGAATTGCCGCGCCCACTACCGCGCAGCAAATTGTGGTTGTCTTGTCCCGTTGAGTTACATCATTGGAGCGTGCCAATCAGATGCCAGTTCGGCTTAGGCTTAGACCGTACGTTTACCAGTCAGTAAGCAGAACTAGGATTATCAGCTATCAGCTATACATTCCGCTTCCATTTCACTTCTGATACATCCGGTTTGTAAAATGAAGAGTGAGCTAGATGCTTTTTGTGCATTTGTGCGCACCCCTACTTTCAATGCTAGAGAGGGGGCAAGCATGCAGCGGTGCCTCGCTTCCTCTCTGCAGGTTCACCCGTGGAAGAGGGCAGACAACCAGAGACTGCGGGGCCGCTGCTTTCCAAAAGGCTTTACAGCGGTTTAAAAGTTATTTGTTA